CTTACGAAAGATCTAGAAGCGTACAGGAAGTTAGTTAAAGACAAAAAAGAAATAAAAGCAAAAAAAAATACTTCAGCTGAGTCAGATGAAAAACTAGTGACTGACGATGGAAACAAGGATTGAAGTGCTTAATTGATGTTAACAGTAGATTCTCCTTTTTTTAAAAGGAAGGAAGAGTCTGGATCAATTATTTTCAAATATACCATTCTTAGATTTATTTTGTGTAACGTATTGTTAGTAATTTTTAAAGTAAAAATTAGTATTGAATATTAGTTGTGAAATAAACATGAGAAATATATGTGAAATACTAGTATCGATAGAGTAAACAGTTGTTTTATTTTTTTATACATTGGTTTAAGTTACTAGTTCAGCATCAACATCTTGCCAAAATGGGTCTGAAAACGTATCTGATTCGCCATCGGCATCATGGGCAATAGCTGGCGATGATAACTCCACTCCTTCCATGGACGGCTCGTCGCATTCTATAGGCCATTCTTCATCTTGTGCCATTGAATTATTTATTGCGTCACTATCTTTCGCAGATGATCGTGATGCTTGTCCTAATGCATTTACGCCATCTACTGCTCTATGGTACTGTGGTTCCATGCTATAAAATGGATTAATAATAGAAATTGAAACTAAGTTAAAACAAAACAACTACCTTAAAGCAATTGTGTAATACTCCAATGCGCCATTAAGATCTTTTTCAGAGCTTAATATATCACCTAGCATTGTAAAAAGCTTGTGATGAGGATAACTTACTACCTGCTTCTTAAGCATAGCAATTGCTTGCTGTGTTTCCCCTTCCGCTTGACAGACTTCAGCCATTAGAGCAACAGCAGGCGCATAATGTTCATCGATCTCCAATGCTTTTGATACAAACTTTTTCGCACTTTTTTTAGCCAATGGATTTGTTGAATGAAATAATGTACGAGCAAACATCTAAGAATTCAGTATTAAGTCAAGAATTGGTTTAACAGCACATGATACATACAACATAACTTCTTGGTGAGTTTCGAAAATAGCGAACAGCTAGGGCACACATTGTTTGTGCTTCTTTTAGACGCCTTAAACCTACATAACAGTGAAAAAGCCCTTTATATACTTCAAATCTATAATTTGCCAAACATTGTGCCGCTCTAAAGAAGGAAATAGCATCTTTATGACGCTTTAATTGCAAACAAATTTTTCCACGTAACAACCAAGCTTCTGTATTTCGAGAATCAACAGATATGGCTTTATGTGTAAATGAAGAAGCTTTTTCCAATTTTCCTGCACCATAAAAACACTGAGCGAGAACAAACCAATGACCTGATGAAAATTCATTAATATTTGTAAGTTGTGCAGTTAATTTATCCAACTCTTGTAATTTTTGGTTATATTCATATACTACAGCCAACGGCATAAGAGCGTCCATACTATAAGGATTAATCATGAGAGCGGTTTCTAGATAATGTTGTGCTTGTGGAAAACTGCCGTGGTAGTATAAGCATTTTCCTATTAAAGTAAGTAATTGTTCATTTTGATGAAATTTCGTATTTTCGTTAATAGACTGAAACGTTTTGGACGCTTCTAGATGTTTGCGCCCAAACATTTGTGCATGCGCCTTAATCCAGTTACTTAACCATTCTATATTTTTGGGCACACAACTCGCTAACAAAATAAAAATAAAATAACTTAAGTATATTTATTAGTTAAATTTTTCAACAAAACACACCATTCACAATAAGTGAGTTTACTTCGATTCCATCAACTCCTAGCTTTAGCAGTTCCTCTATTGCATCTAGTGCTAATGGACATTCTCTTAAAACATCCTTATATGAAAGTACCGCTTCAGAAGTATTAGCAGAGCGACTATAATGTAAAAAATTAGCCAGCATCATATTAATTTTCGGAGTACGCGCTTTTTGTGGCACCGCTTGTAATGCTGCAGTTGCCAAATTTTGTTCTCCCATTTCGCGATAACATATAGCTAAACGATAACGTGTCTCTACTTCGCTAAAGTGATTATAAGTACTTTCTATAGATGGAAGATGTACATTTTTACAACGAACCATAGCTTTACGTAGTAATAAAGCCGCATCTAATTGCTTGGCTGCCAGCCGAAAGTACCGCCTTTCTTGGTAATATGAATTGCCACTGTAAAGTAACAACTGGTATTCTAACTCCGGTGTAGCAATTGTGCGATCATTTTGCAACAAAGTACTCAACAGACTTGCCTGAAACATTAATATTAGATGAAAACAAATTGATATTGAAATAACTATACCGTTGGAATAACACAGGAATAAAGCTCATTATCATACAATTTCTTGATATTTGCAAAAAGTACTGTTTCCATGTTTTAAAACACCAAAGATTATTTTAAAAAAATCAGAAGATGGTTTTATGTTAATACAAATTAAAACACTTATTCGATATTCCTTAATTTGTTTATATTAAATTAACTTCAGTTCTCAATTCCAGTGATTTTAGTTTACTCAAATAAGATCTGTCAATTTCGTAAATTACAAAACTATTCACAATAGAATTCGTTTAAACGAATTCTTTGATTTTAAAGAATATCAAAGAATATCGCATCATATAAACAAAATATGTGTTGTAACAAAGAAAATTTGATAAATATATATATAAACATTTAAATCCGTTTAGTTGGCTAATCATGTAATATATATTCAATAAGTTCTTAATTTTTACTGCTTTTTTCATATGAATTTTACAGGTTTTTATTTTGTTCGTTAACGAAACTTTTGTAGAAACGAATTTTTTTATAAAATAAAAAGAAAACAGTTTTAAATATTTCTTATATAATGATATATTTTCTTAATAACTTTTCGAGCGTGCAAAACATAACAGCTTCTCAAATAATTTTGATATAATATCATTAAATACCGTTTTGATGTGTAATTATTAATAACAAAAACCGAAGCTACTACGAATTTTTTTTTATACGACAGTACTTAAATGGTGAATGATGAATTGTATTTCTCTGTGTAGGCTAACTTTTAAAATTTAATTTCGAAAAATCTGTTTATGCGTGAGGATGCGCATTCGCCACTAATACGCATCCTTCACCAATGATGCGTATTATTAGTTAGCATTTCTGTATCATTAGTACTTAATCGAAGTAAAAAATTTGTTTTCTGTTTATATTGTAAGGTTTAATGAGCCATTTTCGGTCAGTGTAAGCGCCATATAAGTTTAATTAAAAGAAATACACCTTTTTCACATAATTTATTGTTATAAAATGAAGTAAGATTTAAACGGGAAATGTTTTGTAAATTTTTAGTTCGTCCGTTTGATAAACATCAGGCCTTTTCGATAGCTCGCAAGTACGGCAAAAAAAACAGTGAGTTGCTGGCCTATACTGGCCGAAATGTACGCAAAACAACAACACTATTTTCTGTACCTCAGCCCGTATATGTATACTGGACACACACATCGGCCAGTGAAAAATGAGTGTTGCTAACGCAATAAGCGAACTATTGTGAACCTTCATTGAAAATTCCAACGAATATTGCAATCATATGTCAAAAGTTATATGTAAATAAAAATTTAAACAGAATTCAAAAATTTCATAAATTGGAAAAATGGAAAAAAAAAATTTTAGTGTTTTATTTTGAAATTTTCAGCATTTTTCCCATAATTCTTAATTTTGTATTCATTTTAATTTTGAGCCATTTTTTTTTTATTTCATTTTTTATTGATTCCTTCTTAACATAAGAAATTAACAATAAATTTCCAAATCTTAAACGAAATATAAAAAATTTAAAGCCTTAGCTTGTGGGTTATTTATAATCTTTTTAAATTTTGAATCTATGTTAATTATTTATTTTTATACAGAACGTAATTTGCTTGTATTATGTTATTTTTGCTGATTGTCAAAACATAACACTTGACTACTAATTATCAAAACATAACAATTTATACTATTTATTTTATTTTATCAAAAACTTAGTAACAGTTTTCATTGTTGAACATGCCGCAGGAACTGAGACTTTAAAGAGATTTCCTAATTGGCTATAAGTTATCATATTACCAACGTATCAAAGATATATTTAGACAGACTTTCTGCTTACACATTTAATACCACTACAATCTGTATCAGACAAATACTCCGATTCTGAGAAGCACAATAGAAATATATTAAATTTGTAATTTAATCACGGATACCTCAACATATATTTACTTCCGCTGTATTTCGTCGTAATCTGAAGTGATTTTTAAAATCTATTTTGCTCATGGATTCTATAGTTGCTTCAAAGTTTTTACATTTTACCTGCTCTTCTTCACTATTGCTCGAATCTTCAGAAGAAACTGTTGCTGCATTTACAACATCTAAAAAATCCGTGAAACAACTTGCTTTTTTCTCTCTGCATCGAGAGTACCTACAAAAATTTACTTATGTCAGTGTTTTATTTTTAAATTCCAATTCTTTGAATACAGAATTAAAAGGAATGCATGCTGGCCTATATCCGCTAAGCGAGACATTGGCGTCACTGTTGCAATCTGTCAAATTTTCTTTTTTGGCAAATAGTAAATCTTGCATATGTGTACATAATGCAAGCAAATTACATTTTGTATAAATTAAATAGTTAATCACCCCTATTCTGAATTGCATGGGAATGGGCGTTTGTTCCATATTTCCAAGTTTGCTATTCTGAATAATATGGGAATGGGAGTTTTTTTCCCCACTTTTGCACAAATTCTTTCCCAAGCAAATTGTTTGGGAATGTAGTATATTCGATCATGGCAACCCTGTATAAAGAAATAGGTAAAAAAGGTAAAATACGAAGTGCGTTGTTGTTCGTCGTTGTGATCAAAGGAGTAAGCGTGCCATGCCGTATAAACTATTATTATTATTATTATTAAATTGTAAATCTATATAACTATATAACATTTCTTGTGGGCAGACTATTTTTAAAAAATGTCAAATGATGGCGAAGAATTTCGGAGATTTAAGCTAATTTAACGTGGCGTCAGGAAAATGGCCGACGTATATGGAACAAATAGAATTTTTCTTTTTTGCTAATGATATTACAGATGCAAAAAAGAAAAAAGCTATCTTTCTAGCTTCATGTGGGATGGAAACAATATTAAAATCGGTTGCCACACCGGTTAACATATTAGATGAGAAATTTACATTTGATGCGGCAACTAAACTATTGACGAGTCATTTTTGTCCAGCAGCTAATATAATAATTCAACGTTTTAAATTTTATAGGAGGGATCAAAAAGAAGACGAATCAATTACCAAATTTTTGGCAGCGCTAAGGAAATTGAGCCAAGACTGCAATTTCAATGATTTAGATGAAATGTTACGAGACAGATTAGTCTGTGGCATACGCGACGGGAATTTACAAAAGCGGCTTCTGGCGAATGACCAGTTAACATTAAAAATAGCGCTGGAGGAAGCTATTGCATCAGAACCAGCACAAAAAAATGCGATGGAACTTAAAACGTCAGCCAGCCTGCCAGGTTTGAATAAAATTTCAAGCAACAAGGTAAAACATATTCGTGCTCCAGTAGACCATATTCAGAATTGTTATCGTTGTCGAGGAAATCATCAGTCAGATCAGTGCAAATTTAAAGACGCGGAATGTTATTATTGCAAAAAGCGTGGACATATTGAGAGAGTTTGCATAAAAAAAGCAAAAACCAAAAAGCCAGCAATAAATAGCTGGAGAAGGCTAAACAGAGTAAATCTTTTATTTATTGTCAATGTTCGCTAAAAGTAATCCAAATTAAGTCAAGTACAATTAAGAACTTGGGGAACAGAAAAAAATCTTAAACTGAGTGGAGAATCAGAAGTACCAGTCTCGTTTGGGAATGTCATAAAGAAACTAAAGTTATTAGTAGCAGCGGGTGATGGTCCGGCTCTAATTGGTTGAAATTGGTTCAACAATTTGAGAATTAGTATAACCAGCAATTTATGCAATATAGAATCAACTATTCCAATAGAAGTGATGAACTTCAGTTCAGTTTTTGATGGAAATCTTGGAGATTACAAGGGAAATCCTGTGAAGTTACAAATGTCAGTTTCAAGCAAACCTTAATTTCTTCGATATCGACAAGTGCCTTTTGCACTAAAACTTAAGATGGAAGCAGCATTAAAGAAGTTGGAAGATGAAGGCGCACTACGCTCAATACCCTTTAGTGAATGGGCAATACCGGTTGTACCTATTATTAAACCAGTGTGGAGAATATAAGTGCAAAGTGAATCAAATGCTTTGCAAGGAAACGTATCCATTACCTACTAATACAGAAGTACTAGCAACATTAGCAAATTGTAAGTGGTTTATAAAGCTGGATTTAGATTGAGCCGCCGCCTTGAGTGCATTAATACTAAGTATTTGTTGAACTGGTTCGGGATCATCCTCTGCTATTTGATCTAATTTCGTTCTGCATACTTTAGCAATATGACCGACTTTCCCACACGCAAAGCATTTAGACTTACTGAACTTGCACTCTCTTCTGAGATGCTGACCACCACATCCATAACAATTCGTTGTTTTCTCTTTTGTCATCCGCATCGCTTTTTCATGATTCTCACTAAAAATACGTTTTGTTTTTACTGGAGCGCAACCTAGCTTATATGTTGATTCACTTGGTTGCCCTAACTCTGTACCCTTGACGTCTGTTGTTGTTTTTTGCGCTCGCTCGATTGTATGCGCAATTTCATACGCTTCAGTGAAATTTTTTGGTTTTCTAATTACTATTTCATCACAAATATTGCGAGATTCAACCCCATATAGCAATTGCTCCACCAACATTCTATCCAAGAAATCTACATACTCACAGAATCTAGCACCTTCTTTTAAGCGAAGCACAAACTTAGAAATTAATTCTCCCTTCTCTTGTTTAATTTGTCGGAACCTGATGCTTTCAGCGTACTTATTCCGTGTACCATCAAAATGATGAATTAACATATTTTTAATTTCGTTGTATGTAAACATATCAGGTGCAATTGGACTAGCGAGGATTTTAAGAACATCGTTGAGTTCTGCTCCCATGTATAAGTTAACAACGGATTTACTGGTGTCAGCGGATAATATATTTTTTAATTAATATTATCATATTTATTTTAATATATTATTTAGCGTACTTATATCAATTGTATAATATTAATAATAAAGAATTCGTATGTAACCAATTTCCAGACACTACGTCAGCATAAGATCATATTTCTTTTTGCATTCCTATGCTGAAGTACGTGTCGAACAGCAAAATCAATAAATGCGTTTTCAGTTTTAGAAAAGCGCCATAGGAAGCTAACGTGTTTTATTTAATTTTGTGAGTAAAGTCTTCATAGAAGACAGAAAAATTAAATAAAATAACAATTGTGCCAAGACAATTGTTAACTTATACACGTACATACTCTCCTTGTTCGGCTTCCGGTATCTTGCTCAAATTTAACGCCCAGTCCACACGCGTGAAATAATCCTGCACTGAGGATCCTTCTCCTAATTTAAATTCTGCAATCTTAAATGGTGGTGGTTTAAGATGTCATCGAACTTGCGTTTGAATTTGTTAAATTGTTAACAGCAACCGCTTCCGTCACCGCCATTCGAATCGTACCTGCGAGTGATTCCATCATGGTCTTCATTTCGCTTGCTGTGAGACTCATTTTTTTGAATCCCACTTCTGACACCACTTTTGTATTTCAACTTTATTCATTCAAGTTACAGATAAGATAATATTTTTTCATTTCTACTTCATAATAATAAACTATTAACAAACACTACTCAGTTAAAATGACAACTGTCAAACTTCATAAATAATGTTGCTAGTGTATAAAATTCATACACAACAAGCGTATACACAGGTGAAGGTTGACCAAGAATCAGCAAGGATACTTACACTAAACACACATCGCGGACTTTTTGAAGTTACAAGATTACCGTTTGGAATTTCAACGGCACCAGGTATTTTTCAACCGATAATGGAAGGAGTTCTTAAGAACATAGATGGTGTGATTATTTATTTAGACGACATTCTAATTGGCGGAACAACTCTGGAAGAGTTGTGGGATAGAACACGAATAGCCCTGAAATCTGTACAGGATGTAAGACTGAAGCCTAAAAAATCAAAATGTGTTTTCACGGTACAAGAGATAATATTTTTGGGGTTTAAGATAAGCAGAGAAGGAGTGCGTCCAACTGACGAAAAGGTAAAGACAATAGCTCAAGCACCAAGAACCAATAAACAGAATAAACAACAGCTGCAAGCTTTTCTTGGGTTAATTACATTTTATGATAGATTTTTACAAAATAAGAGCGATCTATTGGAACCGCTGTATCAACTATGAAGAAAAGAGATACCATTTAAATGGGGTAAAGAACAGAAATTAAGTTTTGAACGAGCAAAGAAGCTACTACAATCAAAAAATCTTTTGGTGCATTATTTGGCTGACTTACCACTGATATTATGCGGAGACGCATCGCCGTATGGAGTTGGCGTCGTTTTGGCACACAAGATGCCGGATGATAGAGAAGCACCGATTGCTTTTGGCTCCAGAACATTATAGGGAGCGGAACGAAATTATTCACAGTTGGATAAAGAAGCGCTAACGATTATGTTTGGTGTGCAAAAGTTTCATCAATTTTTAAGTGGTAGACAATTTACAATAATGACAGATCAGAAACCACTAGTGGGATAAACCAACATCACAGCATATATCACCCAGAATGTTAAGGTGGTCGTTAAAGTTAGGCGCTTACCAGTATGAGATTAAATTCTGAGAAGGGAAACATCACCAGAATGCAGATGCATTGAGCCGGTTACCTTTAAATGATGTAAAGCTACAAATACCGAAAATACTTGAAATATTATGCTGTAATGAGGCTGAAGAACAGTTTTTGATCACTGCGAAAGACATTGCACAAGCAACCAGAAGAGATCCAGTACTATCAAAAGTAATGTGGCATATCCAAAGGAAAGATACAGTTTTGCCATATAAGTCAATCCAGTTTAAACCGTTTATGAATAAAATCCAGGAACTATCAGTGAATGCACAATGTTTGTTATGGGGAGCAAGGGCAATAATACCAACAATACTACGTCCCAGAATACTTGACATATTGCGCGAAGCTGATTTTGGTGGCCTGGTTTAGATGAAGACATAGAAATATTAGCTAGACGTTGTGAAAAGTGTGGATGTAACAAAAAGAATCCTCCTGTAGCAGCAAGTAGACCATGGCCAGCAATGCTAAGGTCATGGTCACGGTTACATATTGATTATGCGGGACCCTTTATAGGTGCAAATTTTTTGATCGTCGTAGATGCTCATAGCAAGTGGGTAGAGGTAAAAAGAACCAGTATAATAAATGCGATTAGAACATTCGAGTTAATGAGAGAAATTTTTGCAACACATGGAATAGCAGGCACCATTGTGTCCCATAATGAGAATAACATAGCATAGCTTCTTTGTAAAACGCACCAGAATGGTCGCTTTACTTATAGTAAGCAAAACAATATGCATTACAAAATGTCTCTACAAAAAGAGTAGCTTTGAAAAAATAAAGAATAGGCGAACCCAAAAAGTTAACTTGCAATTCGTTGAACTTGTGTTTCCAAAATAAAGCTGTAGTTTATAAG